ATGAAAGATATCAAATGGTCCTCACTAACTCATTTGCTATCTATAATTTTCATTATGCTCAAATAAACAACTCGCACATATTTCAATAGCAGCTAAATATTCTTTATCTTATCTCCTAAATGATATATTAGCTAAGATTTTATGTTACGTTGTTACTATTGAGGATTTCCTCAACCTTTGTTTTACTTGGCTTCAAATTACATATTTATATTTCCAAATGTTAACTTTATTAGTACGCCTTGAAACCTTTGGATCGTTCTGAATGGCTGCTCTTACGAAAGGCTTATATTAATCCAGATGCATTGTTTGGAGAAGTTATAATTGAGTGATTTTCCAGGTGTTGTGTCAATGTTGAAGTTGGTTTACATATCTTGAAGCAAGCCTCTACTATGGGTGCCATTGAAGCAACTTATGCGATATGTGTATGATTTCTTTACATAAAATATAGGGTGCAAGAAGGATATCAAGTGTTATATACTCTTCACCCAATGCATCTATAGATGAAGCAAAAAGAGCTTACCTATTGTAGAATCATCACTATCTCTACTAATGGAAAAACTTTATCAATTTTGTACATCGAAAAAATTCCACAAACATATTGCTCGTGTAATGACATGTTTAAAGATTGATTTTATTTTTTCTGGAATCGTGAAAGCAATATTGTACTAGATTTTGTTTTTAGTAGGACTAATTAAATTCAATATGATATTGTAATAGATTTTAATTATAAAAACAACGAAACATACACATTACATTAAACAACAAACCATAAAACATTACATTAAAGAGATTAAAACAATGAACCATAAATACAACAAATCTTACACACACTCTAAACAATAAATAAAATGATAAACATACAACTATTCTTTATGATGTTTTAATCCCAATGTCATTGGAACCATGCTTCTGCGCTTTCATCATCTATCTCTATTTTCCTATTATTTTTCTTAGATGGTGGGATATTCGAACTGGAAGTAGCATCCTCAGCCATACGAGCAAGGTTAACATCGTCGAGCTCTACAAACAAATCTGCATTATATATAGAATGAGAATAGTATGTGTCATTCATACTATTCACATCGACATCATTTCTTAGAGGAAAGCTCATGAATGATGGTGACAATCTATAATATAATAAAGATATTCTTATATTACTTCTAACTTAAACCTTTATTTCTATCATAAACTTCAACTCCTCTTGTTGATTTTTTTTGAAATACATGCTTAAAGATTTGTAATCATGAAAAACAGTTGCAAGAATAGTAGCCATCTTAGCAAAAAACACAAGCTTTTGAAGTGAAATACTCAAACATTTTTTTAGATGTTTTTTGCTTCAAGTGTGACTAAAATAACTTTCAGCTCGCATATATTTATAGACCCTCAGGAAGTGCTTCTTGTAGAACATATTTTCCCTTATTATTGGGTTATGTTTTTCCTTAACATAAACATTAAACATAATACAACAAACTTAATATAAATACATTATAAAAAAAACTTAATATAAAGACATAATAAAAAAATATAAAAAACATAATTCATTTAAGTTTATGCAAAACTAAAAAGCATTACAATTAGTTAAATTCTTTTGATGTCTCATTCTTCAATGTGTTTCATAGGGCAGTGGTTATCTATTTCAATGAGGGTTTCTTCTTATAGGTTGGTCTTCCTCTCCACTCTCCTCATTATCATCATCATCATCAACTACATTTTGTTGATTAGGGATAGATGACAATGAAGGACCTACTTAGAATAACAACCCTAGAGGTGTATGACTAACCATTCCACCATTTAATGAGAACTACAAAAACTGTGAAAAACTGAAATCGATGTCTACGACCCATACACAGATGGAGGTGTTTGTGGTGGAACACCACCCACCAGATAAACAACATATGAAGCAAATGTTGGATCAATAAGCATGGCTATATAATATCCTCCAAGGGGTGTCATAAAACCCTATGGGGTTCGTACTTAACATTAGGCTGGTGGCATATAAAATTACGATAATTGTATCTAAACTAGCGGTGATGACATTTGAAATAACGATGGTGACATCTGAAATAACGATGGTGACATCTAAATCGACGATGATGGTATCTGAACGTGGTACGAAGATATCTAAACCGAAGGTGCACCCATGTAAACTGGTGGGCTTGGGATGTAACCAAGTGGTGATGATGGATGTTGTGATGTTTCTGTTGGAGCTGCTGAGGACGACGAGCAGGAAGCACCTGCTCTTCTTCCACGAGTACGAGGATGATTATGTTATGATGGTGGATGTTTTTCTCAGTGACCATGAATTTCCCCTTCATGCTTCCACTGAAAGTAAGAAAAACTTCCCATTACCGTTGAACCATTCAATGTAATCATATGAAATTGAGGAAACATTTTCTAATATATATTGTTGATGGGGAAAGCGTTGATATTGGCTTTCCCACATCATCATCCACTCTTTGTGCTTCCCCCACCCAATTAACCTCTTTTTCGCCTCGTCTACCAATGTTATGCATACTGACGAGATTCTTATATTGTGTGAAACCAAACTGACAAAGCACACAATCAGTCGGATGCCACTCAACAATAGCATAACAAATAAGAGGAACAACCACTAGCCATGTATCTAATTTCCCACTCAACTCAGGTGGGATGCAAGCCCTCATTTCATCATTCAGATAGGGAAACCATTGGAACTAAAACAAAAAGATATATTTATTATGAAAAATAAAATAATATTCTAATTATATAAAGATAATTAAATTAAAAAATTAAAATTTCAATTCGTATCTCTAAACCAGTTTTCTGATCAATGAGTAATCAGATCTCTTCTAATGCATCAGGGATATAACATGACTTTTTTTTATTTGATGACCAATAATTTAATATAATAATATATTTCATTATGTACTTCACGAAATAATTAATAAATAAATTCAGTATTGAAATTAGTTTAGTAGTAATATGAAAACAAATGCTCATTCACGATCGGACATAAAAAAGGCATGCGATACCATGCTCAAGATTAGAGAAGAAGAAGACAGGCCCCAATAGCAGTTTTACTATAATTCTTTGCCCGACACATATCTCTAAACAAAAAACTCAAAATTGTAGAGCTCAAACTTAATCTACCAGCTACTTCAAAATCAATGAGGTGTCGCAACCACATACAATGGACCTGGTAGCGAGATTTTTCGGGCATCAATATCGTCAAATGATTCATAGTATGTATCCTCAGGCAAATGCTTTTGCCTCATCCTTGAAACAATTTTTGTTAAACTCTTTAAAATTATATTGCAGTCACGATAACGTTATTTCACCACCGTCGAACTCCGTTGGGGAAGCTCTAAGATACTCCATGCACAGAGAATGTCAATCACCATCCACCACTCCACAAATAATAGTTCTATCTACTAGGAGCCCCAAGTGCATTGAAACATCCTCCAAGGTAATGGTACACTCCCCCACATTGCAGATAGAACGTGTGTGTCTCTGGCCTCCACCTCTCGATTAGTGCAGAAATGAGGGTAAGTTCAATCTTACAAGCTCCAACAATTTTGGCTACGTAACCAAATCTTGCATTGGATAAATACCTCCAAATAAGATTCGTGTGTTCATCTTGTTGTTATGAATAAAAAAACTTCTAATATACAATCAGTTTCCTAATAAATAAACTCTAACAATTAGAATTTGAAATAATTTTTTTAAAATATTTAAATTTAAATATAATATTCAAAAATTTAAAAATAACATAGTCTCATATTCTTACCATATTGACAAAATGACTCGAAATATGATCAATATTCAATCTCAATATCTCACCTTCCATTTTGTAACTGCATATAATAACACAAAAAATTAATTTTTATAAGTAAAATAAAATAATAATAAATTATTAACTGAAAAATAATAGGTATAAAATAAATTATACTTTTAGGATAAGAAATATGAGAGATATATATGATTTTAGATGTGATTTGTTAAGGTTAGGGGGTTTATACATAGGAGGGAGGGGAAAACGGTAGGAAGAGGGGGCAGAAAAGGTTGGCGGGAAGGAGGGGAAGGCACGTCCCTTGCCAAGCACCTTCCACGGGGTGCGAAAACCCGACGAAGACACATTTCATGCTAAGCGCCTTCCACCATAACAGAACACATCACCTAAGGCACGTTACTTGCAATGTGCTTCCTTGTCGCGTCAACGAGTCACGTTCTTTTTCGTCAGAATATGTACTACTTTGGTACATATTCTGGAAAGGGTGTTAATGTGATTTTTATTTTATTTTAGAGTTATTGTTTATTAAAAGAAACCCTTAAATTTATCCTTAATCCCCTTTTCTTTTATTTACTGTTTGTTTTGTTTTTTTTAATTAAAAAAATTTAAGTTTCAATTAAAATGATTAGAGTAAGAAGAATTTTTAATTTTTTTTATTATTTTGGCTGTTTTATTATTTTATTTCTTATTAGCTTGCTTGGATTTTATTTTTCTTACAGTTAAATTAGAATTTCTCATTCTTGTTTAATTTTGTTTCGTTCTCTACCTTAAACCCTAATTTAAAAAAATGTTAGGTATCATATTCTAGTTTAAAATATTTATTTATTTTACAAAATGTTAGTTAAATATATGATACCTTAAACCCTAGTGTTAAAAACAAATTTTACCTCTAATGTTAATTATATATATCATTGATGAATTAGATATTGATATATAATCCTAAAGTTTTAAAATTAAACCTATTTTAATTTATTTTAATGAATTTTATAACTATATTATATAGTATTTACGTTATATGATTTGATAAATATAGAGCTGTTGTTCAGATGTGATAAAAGAAATTATATAAATTTAGATCGAAATTATTATTATATCTGAAGAAAAATAATCAAATAATTCAATAAAAAGATGAAACATAAGTTCAAATACAAGTCCATTATTAGAAATATAAGAAACAACACATATTTGAAGCCAGCAGCATGCAGTGCATTAATCAGTGGGACTTATTCTTCGTAGCCTTATCCATTTATGCAACATGGTCGAACAAGCTTCCATCAAAACAGCCCCTCACTGCTTCTTTCGATAGATAACCATTTTCATCTTTTGCAAGCCGATATAAAAGTATCCATTCCCCCTTCGATATTATCCTGAAAATCAGTTTCAAAAAATTTCAGGAAACAGCTTCTTGACCATTTATTGAATCTAAAACACGAAATACGAAGAAGATACCATCCAATAAAATCGTATTGGTTCCGATTAGCCTCGGTCATGTTCCACACTTCTTCGAACGATAACTTGTCGGGCACAGTTCGAGCGTACTTGCTGAAGATGTTCTCGAAGTTCACTGGCATGAACCTGAAAATCCCAAGGGTCAAGATATTTTCTTTTCTTGTGTTTTGAAATGAGATGTGGTGATTACCTTCCTTCAGTGTCATATGTTGCTGTGTCACTGCCATGCTTGCATTTGTGTATTCTGTCGATATATATGGGGAAATGTAGATCTGGGAGCCATCCCTATCAAATTTGTGAAATATACAACTTTGTTATACGAGTGTTTATGTATGTATATAATATAAAAGCGTTTCAAATATTAAGAGCCTAAATGATTCAAGATTGAAATATACCACATTTGAGAAAACTGGGGTCTAGAAAAATATGCCACCCGTGATTGACTTGAAAAAAATTTGAACCTGAACATGAAACTATCTAAATTCAAGAAGATTTAATTTTGAAAACACAAGCTAAAAAGGATAAACTACATGGGTGTGGTCCCTTATATTTTTAGTCACAGGTTAAAAAAAAGACTTAAACTATCAATCCACTTAATTTTAGTTATTCAACCGTTAACTCCCGTAAATCCATTAGTGAAAGTATTTGACAATTAAAAAATAAAAATATCTATGTGTTTTCTTCTTAGACTTTATTTTTAACTATTAATTTATTACTTTTGTTAATGGGTTAATAAGAGTTAATAAATGAGAGTCTAAAACCAAAATGATCGATAACATAAGGAACCAAAATTCTTTTCTTAAGCTGTGACTAAATCAAACATAGCAAATACACAAACGACCACCATGAAGGTTACCCACACTCTACCTAAAGTAATTAATTTTTAAAAAAAAATTAAATTCAAATATAAAATAATACAAACTCAAGTTCATATGAATCAAACTTGTCCGGATCGATCTAAATAAAAAATATATATAATATGAATGATTACAAGGATAATATTTATTTAAAATATTTTTTAATAATTCATAACATACTATTTAAAACACATGATTGTAATCTAAGGTCTCAAAGAGAAACCACTTATTTTAACCACTTATTTTAACCTCTTAAGTCACAAATGGATTTGAAAATAGTGAAATCCAGACCAAGTTTATATGTGTATATATATTTTTCCAGAATAACTTACAGAGAGAGTGGAATAACTCAATGCCATATTGATGACGATCGCAGCAAAGAAACTTTCAATTCGGCCGAAACCAAGATTTCTCATCCCTAGTTTTTACATAAAATTTTGTCAAAAACATAAAAGCAAAAACAAACTGTAGAGAGATGAAGATTAGAATAAAAAGTGAACCTCTGTAAGTTTCCCTGGGATACAAAACTCCATCTTTGTCTTGATCAAAAAAGGAAGCATGTTGCTGAAGAACACTCAATCCTTTATTATCACGCCCTTCTGTTCCGTGTGGATGTTCCACGTCTGGAGCTACCAGAGCCCTTCCCAAATCTAACCCATAAACCAAACACACTTAATAAAACCAGCTTTAGTTAAACTGATCAGAGAAAGGAACGAAACTTTACAGGGTTTAGGTAATTTTTCCTCAAGGTTTGATCGAATCTTCCTTTCACGAGTCAATGGAGCTTTGGGTGCCTCAGTTGCCATATCCATCTTTTTTCTCTACTTTCCTTGTTTTCTCATACAAAAGTGAAACTCTCCTTTATATAGAAAACATCGTCATCCAAATCTATCCATTTTTTTTTTATAAATTGTTTTCTACAGTTGAGCTGACATTCATATTGTTTTTATGTGTAACGCGTAATTACAAAACATTCTGCTGCCATACCACAAGTTCCGTTTTCCAATGAGACAAATAAGGCGGCGATTCATCTTTGGACCTCCATTTCTTCATTATATTATTGTTATATATTTATATAATTATATAAGTCGGTAGCTGACGTATAATGGAAGTGAAAAGATAATGGAGAGGAGTCCCAACTTGTCACGTTTTCTAATTTAAAATCAAAATAACTGTGGGTGTCTCTCAATGTAAACTGATTGGTGGTAGTCAATAATAACAAGGTAAATAATTATTTATGTCTGAAGATACTAATTTTTTACTCATATTAATTTATTTATTTATTATTATTATTAATTATTATTATTATTATTATAAATATTATTATTATTATATATATATATATATATAAATAATAATAAAAAAAATTACAAACCAAATTTCCGGCCAGAACCAAACTGAAATCCAAAACATTTAGGGTTTCAGTTAGGGTTTTCTAACCCTAGCCCCATGCGCAGCCGCCTCTGCCTCCAGCCGCCTCTGCCTCCAGCCGCCTCAGCCAACGGTCCAGCTTCCAGCCGCCTCTGCTGCCAGTGCCACGCCTCCATCGAAGCCTCCAGAAGACCCAGATGGCCACCCACGTTGCTACTCTAGCAGTGAGTCACCACATAGTTCGGTGACTCACCGAAATCCGCTCTTCGGACCGGTCCGATGGCCACACCGGTGATGGCTATAAAGCCATCACCCCATCTGCGAGCAAAAGAAGAAAAAAGGAGAGACAGAAAATACACAGAGAGAAGAGAAATACAGAGAAACAAAATACTAAAAAAAAAAAGCTACCAACGATCTCAACAACAACGTAGCAAAGAAACAGAAAAGAAAGAAAAAGGAAGAAGAGAAACTTACCGAGGAAGCCCGACCGCCGGATCTCACCAAAACCTTCGAAAAACCGAAGGTATATTTCTTAGATTTGCTCCGATCGGGAGCTGTTTAAAAGAAAAGATCATCGGAACCGCCATTAGGGCGGTCCGATCTACGTTTCAATGAAAAAAATTTTATCCCGGCCACCGAAGACGGTGGCCGGCGGCGGGATTCACGCCGGCAAGCGGCGGCCGGCCGGATAGCTTCTCTCTTTTCTAGAGAGAAGCGAGAGAATTTCTTTCTCTCAGAAAAGAGAGAGAGAGGGAAGAAAGGAGAAATGAAGCTGGCCCTTCGGGCCAGCTGATTTTGGGCTTAAATAGCCCTTCCCGAACGACGCCGTTTTGGGAAGGGCTATTCGTGTAATTAATAATAGTTAAATCCTTTCCACAGTCCTCCGAATTTGTAAACTTTACATTTTAGTCACTAAATCGAATTTATAATCCTTTTAATTTGATCTCTAAATTTTAATTTCATTTATTTTAGTCCTTTATATTAAAATAATATATTTAGGATAAATAACAGATTTAATCCCTTAATTTTAATAAATAATATTTTAATCCCTAGGTTATATTTTTAATCTTATATTCGAATTTTAAATAATTTTATTTTAGTCACTAAATAAATTAAAGAAATAGCATGTTTAATCCCTATAATTTTGATTAATTATGAATTAGGTTTTTAATTTTATTTTTACTATAATTTAGTCATTTATTTTAAATGCTTTCATTTATTTTATTCTTTTAAATATATCGTTCTAATTTTATTTTTTTATTATTTTAATTTTATTTGTTTATATTTTTAAATATTTTTATTCATAAATATATATATAATAAATAATTTATTTTTAAATAAATTATTTTAATATTTATTTTTCAATATCAAAGAAAAGGACAGTCTTAATACAACTGGATGTCATATTCTGGTATTTTAAAATTTAAAAATTATAAAAAATATTATTTAATTTAAATTAATATTTATCAATATCAAAGAAAAGAGCTGTCTTAAGGCACCTAGAAGTTCTTTTCCGATATTTTTAAATATTTTTTATAATTTTGAAATAATAGGATTATAAATTAAATATATTTTGAATTTTTTAAATTTTTAATAATAGAGACAATTTATAATTAAAAAGTACCAATTTTGGGCGTTATAGGGGTGCTAATCCTTCCCTAAACGTAACCGACCACGAATCCCTTTTTCTTATTAAAAAGAATGAATTTTTGGTTACAAACGCAGATCAGTTCATTTTTTTATTGGTGTTTTTTTAAAACTCTTTTAAAAAAAATAATTTTTAGGTATTTGACCTACCTGACCCAAAAGGACGATGGCGACTCCCAAATTATTTTCAAAACCATTTATTCACATCAATTTTCCCGCCAAATAAATATTTCGTACCCGGACGAAAACCGGTTACGACAGCTTGGCGACTCCACTGGGGACGGTCAAACTTTAAAATCAATTATAAATTGTCTCTATTAATTAAAAATTAAAAATTAAAAATTCATATATTTAATTTTTAATTCTTTCTTTTCAAAATTTTTATATTTACTTATTATTTTCATAATATTTATATGTTTTATTTGCAAGTATTTTATTTCATTATCATTATTTATTTTTCTGTCAAAGGTTTGAACATTTCTCCTCACACACAGCACTTGCATTACATAACATAAAGCTCTATAATTGAGTTGTCCCTTTTAAGTGGGAGTGAAAGCGACGTCTTCGTGAGAATTTATTCTCCGTGTCAGACCTAGCAAGTAACTTTCGGGGTTCATATGCTCCATGTCTTCGTGAGAATTTATTCTCCGTGTCAGGCATAGAAAAATGTATCCCCTCGAATTGAACTCGATCCACTTTAGTCTGTAATAGACTAGGGTTGAGGGTTAGCAACCCAAGGGGGCACTAACAAAGACAATTCGGGTACCTTTATTCTTAGATCTGAAACCCTGCATATAAAAAACCCTAGAAACTCTTCCGACTTGAAGTCATGCCGAAATTTTGTCCAAAATAGGTGTACACACAGGAGAAATGAATTCTAACTTTCTTGTTTGTTTATTTTCTTTATTGATTAAATTACATGTATATTTAAATTATTTCAATTTAGAAAAGCATGTTTAAATAAAAATATTTAGGTAAATGTTATTATTAAATTTCTTTATTATGTAAACTAATTCATTTCTTTTTGTGTGTTCTTTATTTTTTTTCTGTTTGCATAGCATCATACAGGATAAAAGGCATTGATCCTTGTGTTAATTGTCTCATTGGAAAGCCTTCATCCATGGATAAAAAGTGTTCAAATCAAGTAATTCTAAACTCATAAGTAAGACAGTGGGCTGAAGAATTGCAAAGACAAGAAGGAGACAGTCTGCAGGATGATTATGTATCTGACTTGGCCAGTTATACTCCAGTTTCGCTAAAAAGAAATGATATGCAAGATTTGCGAAGTATTTGGGAAAGTTGGGATTCAAATAAAAAATTGCAGTTTTATCAAACTTACGGAGACATCCCATATTTGCTCTATGTCGAAGTTGATGATGAATTACTCAGAGCCCTAATTCAATTCTGGAATCCAGGGTACAATTGCTTCACTCTCAATAAAGAAGACTTGGTCCCTACTATTGAAGAGTATCCAACTTTGTTACATATCGAAGGGGCTTTGGAGAATCGAATCTATTCAAAGTCAATTAAAACTCAACCCTTTCGAGTTAAATTAGCAAAGATTACCGGGGTACGAGAAGAATGGGTGGCATCCCGTATAAAACAAAAAGGCGAAAGCGAAGGCATTGCTTGGACCAACATTAAAGAACTTATTCAGAGTCATCCAGATATTAAAGTACGATTCGATTTATTTGCTCTGGGTATGTATGGTATGGTCATCTTCCCAAAAGTAGTGGGATATGTTGAAGCTGCAGTGGTAGATTTGTTTGAACAGCTACCGAAAAAGATTAATCCTGCTTCTGCAATTCTAGCAGAGACCTTCAGATCGTTAAATGCTTGTAGAAAGCTAGGAGGTGGACGATTCTCAGGGTGTACCCAGTTGTTATATGCTTGGATCCGTAGTCATTTCTGGAGTACAGAAAAAGTTTCATACCGACGCTTTAATACGGATTATTCACCATTAAAAGAATTTCTGGAGCAGGAATGGCCGAAAGAAATTAAGAAAGATATGTGGATTAATGCCTTTCGAAATCTGCAAAGCAATGACATTGTTTGGCGAGCCCCGTGGCAAATCCAAAGGGAATTCTTTTACAAATGTGGTGATTACAATTGGATAATGCTGCTCGGATTATGGGGAGGAATTGGATATGCACCACTTCTGGTCATAAGACAGTATGAAGGTCGTCAATTTGTACCTGTCACTGCCGGATTACAGTCATCTGAGTTCGCATTCCATAGCAAAAATTATAAAAGAAATATCATGGAAGCCGTTACAGCTTGGAATACAACTTTTTGTATCCGAGCTAAAGCAGCAAAAGAAATGCTAACTCCTGATTATGAAGAATGGAGATCTGTCAGGAAAAATGAAAATATTCCTCTACCAGATCAAAAAGAGGAAATCTCTATGGAAGATCGCATTAAAGTGGTTCCATCAGAAATTGAAATCCTGAGAGCTGAGTTTGAAGCAGAAAGAGAAGGCTGGTCGAAAGAATTAGAGCAAATGAGACAAGATAAAGCTATGTTGGGTGTTGACATTGACTTTCATTCATCACAATGTGCAATGTTGAGAAAAGATAAAGAAAAAGTTGATGATGAATTCAGAGCATTACAGAAAAATTACCAGGAGTTATATAAATTCCGGAAAGCATCAGGATCAAGCCAAGCAACAATACAGATGACCAGAGAATTGAACATCGAGAAAAGTCGAGTTGAAGATTTGAAAGGAAAGAATAGCCGTCTACTCAAAATCCTTGAGAAAGGAAAGCAAAAAATGGAAGATTTTGAGGTTGACAGAAGAGAGCGAATTATAAAAAGCAAGGCTGAACAC